GACAGACTGTTACTCTCTCTCTCTTTAATGAGATTTGCTCCCAGGCGGACGTCGCAATACCGCGATCGCTGCAATCTTGGCTGACGATGGATCTTCATCGATAGACGCGGCGCATATACCTCGTCAGCAGGCATCCGAAAGACTAGATGGCATCTGGGTGATGTGAATAAAATGCTAATACTTTGACATTGTATTGGCGATCGAGCTCACTCATCCGACGCGTTATAAATGCTGCTACGTTGCTCGGATGCGAAAAAGAAGTGGCATTTCAAAGCTCTGGTCTGGCATCTACTGCGTCAGCATAAATTCGCGCGACAGCAGAAACTGCTTCGATTGCAGCTACAACGTTCGAGTCTCCGAACCCCAAATACCGAGGATCAGAGCCTAGTCTGCACAGGGGCTACTCACGACATGCAGGTGTTCAAGACAATGACGTCATCACTCCGGTCTCACTATTCGGACCAAATAGTTTTCAGGCTGTCAGAACATGGTTGTAATGTTGCCAGTTCCTATCGGTGGACCGCATCTCTGGCCGAGAGGTCCGTCAGTCTCTCGCTGGTTCGTAGGCGGTTGCGTCATGATGGTCTAGACGGGACTGAAGGTGCTGTACGCCACTCCTCATGGCTGCCGAAACTGCTTCGGCTGAGTTGTCCCGTGACCGGCGATGTTGATGCAGACGCTGGCTGCCAGCCTGATCCTGCCGCAAGGCCAGGTGCTTTTTCATTACCGAATGACGCGAGGTTGAACTTCAAAAATTTTACCGCTCCAATATTTGCCGCATGCGCCGTCATCATGGGACATTTATCCCGTCCCGATCTCCCGTGAGATGTGTGGCACTTGAACAAGGCACAGCCCACGCAAGTCCATGAGCTCCATGCACTCGCACATCGTGGCACGATGCTTCAACCCCACGTCCCCACTCCATTTCGCTACATGGTCAACTGCTGCCGATACATTAGAGGACAACTATCTGCAAGCGGCAGCACGACATGGAGCCTTCCTAAAGGGGTCATCGCGGAGTTCATCCCGTCAGTTTCTGCAGTCTCGACCATAGCAGCACTCTGCGGGACATAAAACCCGCATCGTTGGGCACGTGCTGACCTGTAGCGAACAAGTAGGAACAATCAGGCGCAGCTACAAGTCTGTAGGCGTCGGTTTCCGCAGCTATGTACTCAGAACGGAAGAAAAACAGAATCTGAGAGCCGGACGCTCCCGGCAGCGACCGAGAAGCTGACGCACCCATTTACGCTTTTGTTGTTTGCACGACGACGACTGTCGCTCCGGGCAGAGAGCTCGACAGTCGAAACTGGCCGCACTCTCGTCGATTACTGGCTCCAAGTGCTTGTACTGCACCTGCGTCTGCCTCAGTCGTACAGGTTCGGAGGTCGCACGAGTTTGTGGGCCTCTATAAATGACTTCCCGCCCAGCCCATTTTTTGCGCTCGTAATCCACTCGCCAATGGCACTCAACCCGACCGCTCGACCTGATCCATTGCCACGTACTGACCATGAACAGACAAGCGCTGGGCGTCGTCTGGTCAAGCAAGACCCACTCCAGCACCCACTACGGAAAGTTTGGAATCTGGTTAGTTGAGCCAAACGCTTGCGGTAGTAATCCATCCATAGAGGGGCTGGTCTAGACGGCAGTGTATGTCGAGTCCGCTGAATCCAATCGCCTTCGGCGATTCGACCACTGCACAGCTCCTCGTCATTCCCCAATTGGCATCGCACGCGCCACTTCGTCCTCCAAGCCCTTGTGTCACCTCTCGCCCACTGGGCCTTTCGTCTTCCCAAATGGCAAAGAGCTTTCTCCTACTCGCCCTCGCACTCGTTGTGGCTGCTCGCAGTCGCGTACTCTCGGCCCCGATTGATCCACCGACGACGGCGACGATGCGGAAAGCGACGACGCCGGACCTGAATGTGACCTCTGTGTCGGAAGCCGAGAAGCAGAGGGAGACGCAACTGTCACAGGACCTCCTCCTCACCCAAGAAGAGAGGGGATATAATCCCTTTGTGCCGATATTCGAAGGAATCGCCAGTAAAATCGAGGAGCAAGCGTCGAAAGGTGGACCACTGGCGGCCAAAATGGCGGATATTGCTCTGAAGATGAGGGAGCGGCTCGGGACAGCAGTGAAGGTTGGAGGAGTGGTTTTGAAGGATCTGCCTTTGCTTCGATACCATGAAGTACTTGAAGAGCAAGCCGCCGCTCATTTGACGCGTGTTGCTTTCGTCATCGACGATGTCAAGCCACATCTGTACAGGGATTTTCTGCTGAAATCGGCTGGCGAGGGTACGTATAAAGGCGGTCGTGATGTAGCTAAACTAGAGGTGGAAGCGTACGAAGATCTGTATAATAAGGTACGAGGAATGGAATCCAAACGTAGTGTTGTTTCTGACGGTGGCCGGAAGAGGTTTGGGATAGATGCGGACGTCTACAGAGTTGCTGCTGTATGACTAGGGGTGAGTCACCAAGGGCCGTCCTCAACGTCAGTTAAAAAATGCTGATGTTTCTAATCATTTTGCGTTCCTGCGTTATACTTTGAAATGTCTCGCACCTATCGGTCCTTTCTCTCACCAGCGTACCTGGAACAGATACTCAAACATTGACTATATGAACTCCCCGCTTTAACATGTCCATAGTGCGTTTGTAAAGCCGCTGTTATCTACTTCGTTTTACCGCATACATCATCCGACCTGGGTTCGAGATGTTAGAGTTAATTTCATTGTTTCTTTTGTTTTTCTTTGTTATAAAACTTAGTTCCGTCGGAGCGAATGGTTTAGGTGCATATGTATTCTACAATATGTAAAAGACACGAATTTAAGCCGCGTCCTCAATGGTCCAATAATTTTTCTTGCTCATACCAAAAGAGATACATCGGACACACAAAAGGCGATGGATTGATCAATGTATGGACCAGGCGGTGGCTCATCTGGTGTCAACAACCAGTCTTTATTATCATTCGCTTACCTTTACCAAGAACAGCAGAGCAATTGCTTCACAAGACAAATACTCAGGCGATTTTGGTATAGTGTAGAGACTTACTAATATGTAATTAGAAACAAAAAATACTAAGGGCGTATCGGGGTGAGTCTGTTACATAAAATATTAATATATGTCAATATGATAATGTGATAATAAATTATATTAAGTAAAATATTATCCCCACAATATCACCAATCGTAGTAGTCTCATTGTTAAAATACCATTACATTAACTCAGCAAACGCTGCTAGACATGCGCAATGGGTACTACGTAGGCGTCATCAAACATGCTTTGGTGTTAATTTGGTTAGGTAAGGACATTTAGGATAAGACCCAGCATTATGAGTTTATCTCACTGGCTACGACTTGGGGCACATACCATTTTTGCTACAGAAACAACCTCCCATCTAATATTATATAAACTTCACTTTTTATAGTGCAAAATAATGTGCGCGAACAGTGAGGTAAAATTTATTTTAGAAGCACCCAACCAAATTGCGGATATTGTTACGTCAAGGGCTCTAAAGGTTAAGGAGAGGTATTTCATTTACTGCAAAAAAGTTAACCTGTGAATTACACCTATTTTGGCCTCGCAAATGTGTCTATGTCCCCTTATACTCATACATAACGACAGGATACACCGGGTAATAACACGCACCAGCTTATTTCTTAGATGGTATAGATAGGCCCGAAAAAGGGACAACCGCCTATAAACAGCTCCAACCTTCACCTGCCGCTCTCATTGGTACCGGCTTTCCTTCCAGGAACAAACTGGAATCGGCCTTCAAAGGTTTTGCGGCTACCCAAGGGTATGCCATCGTCGATGCCAGACCAAATAAATAAGGTGGTAATGCAATAGGTCTACTCAAGAGCTAACGTGGCGGGACTTACAGAACGGTCTTAACCACAGCGACTCTGGAAGCAAGGGACGGACCTTCAGATTGTTTATGAAATACCTCGTACGTATTTGTTTTCTCCAACTACTTACACGAAATGATCTGTTCGGGGTTGGATATTAAACGGTATGTACCGGTATATACCCCGTCACAGGTGACATCCTCATGCTTTACAAATTTGGCACGCGGTACGTGTTTGCTTAACCCTGTGTCGGCAAAATTATCGAAAACGAGGCGTTACCATTGCCGATAGTCAAGTCACTCAACATCGTACCATCGAATTGGATACCTTGTTTGATTAAGTAGAGATACTAGCAAGGATTGCCCGTTTGGATACCGCCCTGGCCAAGATGAATTAATAGAATCTCGCATGAAGTGATCTGCTGTATAAGATGGAGGAATTGGAGCAGTAGTAAGTGACTGCGTGTTTAAAATATTATTCTGCTCTACAAAGTGTAAGCCTTTCATTTCATTTTAAGTGGGCGGGTGTGGCCGAAGCAAAAATTAGGGTTGCCCCCAGTCGTGGCCTTATGAAATAAATAAAGATTTTCGTTGCTCTTACTGAGCTTAATTGGTTTAGTACTACTTCTTTCTATGAGCGGGTTTAGTGTATGCAAACAAACAGACACCAATTTTGTTGCAGTCAGTAAAAGCTAATTGAGCACTTTTGCCAGTGCGTAGCTCCCATTGCCCCGTTAAAGCTGATAAAACTTTGTAGTCCTTCCAAGGACCGCAACTTTATCTCCCCACATAGACATGCCAAATGATGATGGCGACAGATCTGACGCCACGCGTGAAGGAATCTTCAAATTGAGTGACTTCGAATGGAGGGCAATTGAATGCAAAATTTATCTTTCTGGAGAATGCTGTTTTGGGCCTACTGTCTGCAGTGGTCAGGGATTATCAACATCTCGCCACCTCCATTATTTCTACAACATGGACTTGACACAGTGCTAGAATAGCGAGTCTCGTATCACTAAAAATCTTGCAAATATTTTGAAATCTTAAGACAACAGCTAGCTCAGTTTTCTGTTTCCGGGATGACGCATAGGAGTTGACCCAAAAACCTTGAATGTTGCTTTTTTGTTTTCAAAAATGTCGAGGACTCCACCCTGCTATTACAGGTCAATAAACTCATAGAATCTTTAAAGTTTTGTCTATTATTTATGAGCAAATGCAACTTAAATTTGCTCAATTTCACGTTTGAGGACGTGCCAAATGTTGAGCATCAGCGCTCAAGATGCACGACACACATGTGTAAAATTCGTAATTGGTCTTTAAGCCTGAAATCAGACAAACGTTTGAGCCGCCTCGGGTCGACTTTATGGCTCGATCAGAGCTGTTGCAACTCAAACACGATAAGCATGATTTGAACGCCTACGCTTAGCATATACGGCTCCGCGAGAGTATTTTTAACGGTTAATTTGGTCAAAGAACAATTGATAATTACTGTGTGAATACAGGGGATTGACGGCGGTCTGGTCAAGAGTAAATTATTCTTTTAATAACTAAATACGCTTATAGAAAGCTAATTAGGCTTGGAAAAATGGAGATTTTGCGTACGAACTGGCGCATGCTAATTCTTTCACCAATACGACAAGAGACAGAAGCTTTAAGACTAATGGTTCTTAAATTTGTTCAGAAACAAAATATTCCTCGTGCGAACAACAAAAGATTGCAAATGTTCAGTATGTGTCAAAACTTAGACCTCTTTTCACATGAGTGTATTACCCAACGCCGAGTGTCTCGCTTAAATGAGTGAAATGATTGACCATGGTCCCAGACGTCTGCGGACATACGTCTAGCTAAAACAAAGTTGAATTGCGAGGTTGACCTTAAGTTAAGGTCGAGGTCAGTAAGGCGAATAGCCGTAATGATATTGCAGTCTCAAGAGAATTTACAAATATCTTGTGGGTAAGCGGATCAAAGAATATTGTGAAGAATGTGCTGAATAAGAGCTATTCTGATACCCATACTACGTACGAGGTCTGGAACGTTAATTTACACACGACAATTGGTACAATATGATAGTGGGAGCGAGTCGACAACGATTCGATCCGAAAGTAAATTAGATCTGAGAGAAAATCCGATCTAAGAGGGGTCCGACCTCATAAAATATCCAATTTAAGGTGATTCCGATGCGAAGGGGATCCGATATGAGAAGAATACGATTCGAGAGGAGATTCGATCTGACTGGGATCCGATTTGAGAAGAGATCCGATCTGAGAATGATCCATTTCAAAGGTGTGTGCGATTTAAGGGGAGAGCCGATCCGAGAAAGAATCGGTCCGAGCCATGGTTAGGTGTTAAAGCAAGAAGCACCCGATGTACAATCGAAGGAGTGATTCATTGGACGAAGCGTGGTGAGCGCCTTTATGTATGGATGGGCTAGGTTCCAGGTTTCGTAAGATGGCAAGATAAAAATTAAGAGAGTTTAATGTGCATTAAAACACTCACGTCATCCCTTCCGGGCTTAATATATTTGGCTTCCTGGCAATGTAATTAGTCGCGTAGCTCGTCTACAAAAGTGTCGCACCTGGATTGTTTTGGACAGAGGCGTTTAGGACTCTCACAAACACCAAGACAAATGAGACACGACGCATCAAGACATTCGTGGGATATCAAATCGCGAGAAGTTTCAAAAGGTCAGAAGATAAGGCAAATTGAGATATACGTATTAGACAAGGCGATCGCGTTGAGATCTAGGTAGCTCAAATCGAGTACCAAAAAGTGACTTGTGATCGCGTGAAAATTTTCACACGATCTACCCTGTCTTAAACACGGTCAAGTTTAGCCTCGTTAATAGTATACAGAGAAGAGTGCAGCCCGCTTCAACCGACGCTTACAAATAATCGAGGAAGTCCTGCTACATGAAAAACGAGTACCCTGTTCTCAGTCTATCGTTTAGGCTCCATTGGAGAGGTGGGACGACATCAATAGTTTTGTGAAACCCGCTCCACCACAATCGGGCACGTTCCCTGATTTATGATGATACGGAGTATCACCTTGAGCATCTAAGTAAAGGACTGGATCGAAATTCATAACCTAATTTTGGTAGCGTTAGAGGCTGAGGGGTCACCGCAGGCGCACAAACGTAAAGGATCATGAAATTACCAAGGTCATGGGAGGGGATTTGATAACAAGAAAGGTAAAGAGGAAGATTAACTTGTCAATCGAGAAAAGGATTATGACCTCCTTGAAATTCTCACCGGGCCACCGCGGTGTATGCTGCAAAGCATAATGCGCAGTGCGAAAGCTCTTATGGCGAAATCCAAATATCAAAAAAAACTACATTTGACGTCGAAGAGGAAGATCGTAAAAACTGCGCGAATAAAGGATTCAGCAGCTAAATTGGATCCACACTATCGCAAGACTCGATCAAATTTGTAGGACCGGAAGGATTAATCAAAGCCACCAACGATCCCAATATGAAAACCTTAGAGCGGTTGAATAAGTTAATAGAGGATGGATACAAGATGATGGGCTGGCTTGAATATTGGCAGGTGGAACTGATGGATAAAGAAAACACTGAGGGCGACTAATAACCCTACTTCAGTGATACAGTGCTGAATACCATCAC